AAAAAAAAAAAAAAGCCCCTCCGTAATTGGGGAAAAAACGAAAAACAAAAACAAAAAAAAACAAACAACACGAAAGAAAGGAGGAGAGGGGGAGGAAGGCAGGTGAATGGTCGATGAGAGAGGAGAGAGGAAAGGGAGGAACGGAGAAAGGAGGCGAGGAACTGTTTGACGACATATATATCGTCAAATAACTGCCCATATATCATCATATATATATCGTCACAAATATATATATGTATATTTATCGTATATATATATATATATAGTCAAACAGAGCTGCGCGGTAAACCGTAGGCAGAGAGGGAGAAGAGGACAACAAACGAGGCGCTGTGACTATATATATATATCGTCACAAATATATATTCTGTTTGTGACGATATATATATATATCGTCACAAACAGTACTGCCCGGTAAACCGTAGGCACAGAGAGAGAAGAGGACAACAAACGAGGGGCTGTGACAAACTGTTTCGTCGGAGTTTCACCGACTCATCATATATATATACTCACATCCGGATGTTGCTTGCAGAGTCCCAGCACGGCTTGCTCGAAGATGGCCAGATTCGCAGGCACCGTGGACGACCCCGCCTTCACTGGTCTCGCCATCTCTCTCTCTCTCTCTCTCTCTCTCTCTCCCGCTCCCCCGCCCTCCCCCGTACTCGACTCCGGCCGCGCCCGCTTAGGTGAAGTCCCTAGGTACTACCGTACGCAGCCTCCCAACGGTTTCACACGGAGATACAAGACGTAGAGCCTACAACCCTAAACCAAAACTTTTTTTGTGGGGGGGGGGGGAGCAGCTAAACCAAAACCATCAACCTCGTTAAAAAGATTAAAAAATAATTAAAAAAGAAAAACATCACACCAAATTGCGTTTTACACGCTGAAAATAGGTCCATCCGAGAAAAACAAACACGTAACCAAATCCATCAGCAAGGGTTCAATTTTGTTTTTTATGGTTCCAATTTGGCGTGGATGTCCCGAAGGACTTGTTCCAGTCTTGACGGTTGTCTCGACGGGCAATTCTGTAATGTGGTTGCGTATGCCGTCCCTTTGGGTCTTGTTCCCTTGCTGCTTCTTTGCCTTGTGACCTCCTTGCTTTGCGATTTCTTAGCTTATGGGCCTCGTTCCACACCCCTTACGAATCCTTACATTGTAAGGGCGCCCTAACTGGACCAGCGTGATTAATTTACCCTAACTTTTTTTTTTTTTTTTTTTTGTTCCACAGCCCG